TCTCTCTCAGTCCAAATGACCCTGACCAGGGATTTGTCTGAGCAAGAGCACATGAGATATTCCTCTCATGACACCGAGAGCGAATGATCCTCTATCGGCACTTTATAGCCCTCATAAGGTTGGCTACCACTCTCGATGACTAGCTGTGCTAGATCTAGAACTTGCCAGCCTATAAGTCCGGTATCAAAGAGTGGAGTACTCATATAGGACATCCTTGGTCTCTCAAGTCTAAGGACTAGAGAATTCATTCTCCAATAAGCACTTACACTATATCCCTAGTGTCCCCACATAAGTAGCTATCAGACCAGCTGCTTCCATCATATGGATGGGTATATAGTACACCAGTATATCGGGTTATCTCGATGTCCCTCTCAAGTAACTTATGACCAGGATTATTTAGAGTCTATGTTTAAAGGCGAATCGGCCTCATTATCGTGATATCATCATGATTTGATTCTCATTACACAGATCCATGGACATCACAATATATATTCATACAACAAGCAATATAAAGTGATAAAATACCAAATAATATAATAAGCAAAGAGAGTGCATGTCATGTCACACGTGTCATCACTCACGTGATTGGCTTGTAGAGCACCTATGACTAGCATCAAGGAGTGGAGTATTCATATATTATTTCCTTGGTATCTCAAGTCTAAGGATCAGATACACTACTAGGATGATGAAATCACTATCTGATAATGAGGTATCATCAACCATCCAATATTCTGTGAGCAGATCGATCAATGAACTCATTCTCCAATTGGCACCTGTACTGTATCCCTAGTGTCCCCACACGAGCAATTATGAGATCAAATGCTTTTATCATATAGATGGATATACAACACACTAGTCTATCCTGTTATCTTGATGTCCCTCTCGAGTAACCTACGACTAGGATTATTTAGGGTTTGTATTTAATAGCAAGTTGGTCAACTTATCAAAAAAAATAGCGAGTTGGTCTCATTATCATCATCTCATCACGATCTAATTTCCACTACATAGATCTATGGATATCATAATATATATGTAATGGGTAATATAAAGTGAGAAAAATATAAAGAAATAATAAGCAAAAAGAGTGTGTATCATGTCACATGTGTCATCACTCATATGATTGGCTTGCAAGGCACCTATCACTAGTAATCTCTCACTTGACCTAAAGCCAATCACCTACGTGTCTAATCTCCATCAAACCCCTATGACGCTCAAAGACAATATGAGACAATGGCTTCATCAGTGAATCTGCAATGTTATCTTCGGAGAGAACTTTTTCCCAAAAAGGAAGATTGGTGCATAAAATCTGCAAAATCGAAAACTACGTATATAAAATATTATGTTTTACCTAGGGAGATCGTATATCTCTGAATCCTTGTAGATATGTAGGAGAGGATGAAGGAGGTCAAGCGTCCTCCTCTCTAGTGGTGATCCACACAGCAGGGCTACAATGATTCTTCTCAAATCTCCAGGCCTACTATCTGAGGAGGAGAAGGGGAGAGAAGAATAAGAGATGGCAATCAAGAGAAGCTCTAGCCTATAAGACTTTGGTTCCCTCCTATTTATAGAGGCTCCTTGTCAACTTAACCCTAATGGATCCTGCCCTATTGGGTATTGGATCTCCATCCAACTACCCAAGCCTCTTAGATTAGTGGATGTCTATCCAATAATCTCTTATTAGCTCTTATTAGATCTCATCCATAGGATCCAATAATCCAAGGGCCTATTGGATATCCAATAAGATAGGAGCTCCGACGGATATCTCATATCTGAACCTATACTCATTGCAACACCTACCATATGTGTGTGACCCTCTATACCCAATATCGAGCTGGCCATGAGTCATACCTATCATAACTCCTTCTGGCTCAATGAATTATTATCTCCATAATAATTCACTCGATTCATCGACTACGGACATACTATGGCACTACGCCGTAGTCCCTAGACGATATAAGGGAATCCAATCTATTGGACATGTCTATTCTCAGTTGCTATGTATCTATAGTCCCTCATTCATCTAATATCTCAAAAATTGTATATCGAGTATAGTGTTGTCAAACCCATACGATTTCTACTCGAGTCTCACTCTAATCGGATTCTCCCGGAGAACTCTTTCTCTCTCAATCTAAATGACCCTGGCTAAAGATTTGGAGGACAAGTTAGTTGATTAAGAAATAAAGCTGATCTAGGCACAAAAATATGTAGAGAACCTCATGTATAATAATACCTGACTGACATACCAGTTGAAGATGATTTAAGAGAACAAATATTAAATGGAGGATGGAATACTAAAACTCTAAGGTGAGATTGCTATCTTGAAGACTCTGTTGGGAAATCTAAGGGTGACATCACATGCGCAGCGGAAGAACAGAAAATAAAAATCCTAATTTTTTCAAAAAGGTATTCATCGTCATGCAAAGATTGGTGCACAAAAACCTACAAAACTTGAATACACGTGTGAGATAATATTTTTAGTTAGGGAGATTGTATATCTCTAAATTTCTATAGATATGTGGGATTTGATGAAAAAGTTCAAATGCCCTTCTCTCTAGCAGTGAGTTAAACAAATCCTTAGAATGGTCATTTAGATTGAGAGAGAAAGAGTTTTCCGGGAGAATCCGATTAGAGCAAAACTCGAGTAGAAACCGTATGGGTTTGAAGGTTAAAAAGGGTTCAATAAGTTTAAATGCCCTCCAAATCCCTAGCCTCTAGGTTAGTAATTATTTGTGAGTCAATCAAACTCGATCGATCAATACCATAAGATAGTGGTTGTGTTGCACCAAACAAACAAGTGTCTTAGAAAACCAACATAAAGAAAGAAAAGATCGAACTGTAACAACCCCACTTTCTGGAGTCAATCAATAGCTTAGAGGGCACACCTTCTTATCCAATGCCAAAATCAGGATTCTCATAGGTACTCGACCAACTATGTTCATCCTTCCATGTCACATTAGACACCTTTAGGCCCTGGTGAAGGAATTAACTTGTGTTTGCACAAGTCAAAGGTAAATTGATGCCTTGACTTCTTCTATGTCGTCCTCCCTTGGGCACAAGAGCATTGGGCTACTGGCTTCTCAAAACCTTGTTGTATTTCCTCTTCTTCACAAGAGCAATGTCACAAATTCTTGACAACCTCTTCTTCACCACAACATAGTATTTCCTTAGTGGCACCTCAGTTGGAGCACTCCCTTTTGCAGGAGTCATGGAGGGATTCAACTCCTCGGTTAGGGAAATAGGAGTGATAGGGGCATTCGGGTCAACATGAGTGGCTAAGGCTGCTCCCTTCTCTTGCTTCAGAATCTTGAGATCAATTCTTGCAATAAAAACATCTAAGTCAGGTGTTGGGAGAACAGTACTAGAAAAGAAAAGAAATAAGGTACTAAAAATGTACCTAGAGGAATCGAGCTTAGGCGACACCAATCAGCAAGTCTTCCATCCATTTGATTTGATGGCTAAGAAAGAGGATAAGACATTTATCAATTAAAATACCTAACCATTTTCCTAAAAGGTCAAGAAGAGAAGCGGGAATCGGAGATGGACTAGGCAAATAGTTAAAACTAAAATCCCAAATTCGATTCTTTCATATAAAAAAAATCACCCCTTTCGACCTTTATTAGAGGTCAGGACACTCTTGATTTTAAACCCTTCTCGTGCTACATGACAGTACCCTTGCTCTCTTATAGATTCAAAAATAGACATAGAAAAGATTTAAGATTAGAGTTATGTTAGCATGACAATATTTGACATATGAGAATGTAATATTCTCCACTAGCAAAGGCACGTTTGAACGAGTCGATGAAGTGAAAACTAAAATCGAACCTCCAAAGCATCAACATGTAAGCACAAGTATCTACATATCACTTATAGGGACGAATTGCAAGTTGAGATAATGGCATTTGGCACTCAATAGCGATCGAGCACTTGATGTGCTAGTGCTTCAAGAACTCGAAATCAAGGTGGAATCCTGATCATAAAAACCCTTCACCCTTGTCATCCCCTCTGGAGAAGAAGAAGATCGGACCCTTCCTAACCTTAGATTATTCACCTCAACCCCCTCAACCATTTGTTGACTAGGGATTTGGGACTTAAACAAAGCAAAAGAGGCCATTACCTGGCTTGAACCGGAGAAAGAAGAGAAGTGCTTTGAAAGTCGAATGGACTAGAGGTAGGGAAGGCTAAGAACTCAAAAGGCTCGAGGGCTCAAAATGGAAAGTGTGCCTCTCCTGCTTCGGGAAGGGCCCTTATAACTTTAGATATTGTTTTACCTACTAGACGTCTTGTCATTTGAATTTTGCTCTTCAACTTCTCTCTTATTTTTTTTGGCTCATCAACTTTATGCTCAACGAAGAGATTGATCAACACGAGCATTAACTTCTAACTTGCTGTCAAATTGTTATATGATGTGTCATTCTTAAGCCAAGCGAAGATTGTCCAATGTGCCCTATCCTTGGTATAAAAGGTTACTCAATATGTTCTCCTTGAGCTAAGTATCAAATGTCACCTAATACATACATTTCGGAAAACGTCAAATGTATCAAACGTTGCCCAATGAGGAGCATGTCAGCTAAGAATTAAATATTGTCATATGCACCCTTATCGATCAAATTATGTCTTCATCATTTATCTTTGCACAAAAAATAATTATTATAAATTTTGCATTTGCATGACAAGTCTGCAATTGTTTGTAACAAAGGTATGAACTATGGCGGTAGCATCTTGAGCTTATTAGGTATGATGACTAGAGTCCAAATGATAAAAAGGATACGGGCAAGGGTTAATCATCCCATGAAACATGACTTCATAGAGAGAGAGAGAGAGAGAGAGAGAGAGGCATTCTCTAGGACCTGTCTCACATTACCGTTCCTTGTTGCATGCCTTTGCGATATTACTTAATCATATTCCTATGCACAGACAAAATCCAGAAAACTATGCTGTTTCATGTGCTAAATGAGAGCATGAGTTGATCATAATCAGAAGGTAACATCAAAAAGCTTCTACCAAAGAACAAGTAAATTCAGCTACTAAACAGGCATTTCTCAAATAAAATCAACAAAAACATGATAGCCTTGTGATTAAACCTTACAGAACATTCCAAAAGCCACAGAAAATTCACGGTGTCTCATATTTTGCCCTAGAGGCTGCTTATTCCTCCTCGCTGCGAACAAATGTATCTTTTTAAAATCGAGACATGTGATGATGAACAAACCAAACCAACGTGTTGCTGCATCACAATTGTACCATTCCAAAACAGTCTTCAACAGCAATCTAGATCACTTGTAAAGCTGTTTGATTCTTTTGGCAGCTTCCATTATGTTTGCTCTGTGACCAAAGGCGCTGACCCTAACAAAGCCCTCACCTGCAGGTCCAAACCCGCTTCCTGGGGTGGTGACCACATCCAAACCCGCTTCAGCCTGGAAAGTGTACCCAAACATATGGAGCATTTCTCCCACCATAAACATCAAAGCCAAGCGATTTAAATGTGTCAACAATTATCTTGGTGTTCTCTTTGTAGAATTTGATTGTTTCAACCATGGCCTGTACAATACCAAGGAATCTGGTAAGCATGTATCACCTATGCTAAGCAGCTCAATGTCAACAAAACTAACCTTCAGACCCTCGGGAGAAAGGCAAGCCAGGCCTCCAGCTTGTGCTATGTTCGATGCACCATTAAAACAGGTACAAACTATACGATTAAAATCCTTGGCAACAGGAAAACCATCAGAGAAAAGTAGTTCCTTCGGGACAACAGTCCAGCCAAGGCGAACACCAGTGAATCCAGCAAATTTAGAAAAGGATGATGTTTCAATTGCTACCTACAAAAGAAAAGCTCACTTTTCCTCATAGTTTAATGTAAATAAATGGATGCTGCAGCTATTGAAACTGGAAGTTGAGGCCATATAGGTTTGATATTAATTTTCTTACCCAAGTAACTTCTAAGAATATATTCACTAGTGGAGCTCCAAGATTAGCATTTACATAATGGATACTTGCTCAGATTTAGATACACGAAGGTAGTCTACGTGTCAAGTCAAGTGCTTCAGAAACCTCCATGTTTAGCACATAGCAAAAAGAAGCAGTTGTTTGCTATAGAATGTCCTTATAGGGTGTATACACCATGCACGGCTCTTGACGATAAGTCTGGGGAGCGCCAATGAAAGTGAACGTACCTCTCAAAATCAAGAGTTGAACCCTAGTCTCCCAGGTTGCAAATCAGCAACTTTACCGTATTGTACCGAAGACCACCCTCTACAATATCCTTCAAATAATGAAACCTTTGGATGAAACATAGAATTACAAATATACAAAATGACACCTAGATAGACAGCAGCAGTTGGCAGCATTTCAAGTTGAATGGTTGGAAATACAATTCTAGACATTAATGCAGTCTGAACCCTAGGATGCTCCCATTACATTAAAAAGCAAATTCCAACATTTATTCCTAGGATTTGGCATTTGTACGTATGCATCAGAAATAAAAATGTATTAATCCAATATCCTCACTGAATGCAAGGAAAAACAAAGGGTTCTTCATGGTTTTCACAGGTGGTAAGTACAGCTTGGACCTTGGTATAAGTATGTAATCATGTGAACAATATTTCATTTGATACAGATAATAAATTCAAGATGGCAATAAGCAAGGTCTCATACACTGGTCAAACCAATACATAAATACCGAAACATAAAGCTAGACACTAACATCAGCCATTCATTTTAATTTTTATTATTTAATTCAATGATGTCAGATGGTAAAAGTCTGTATATCATCCAGTATATAAATCTATCCTAACCATAATCATGTGTATAGATGCATTTACTTAAGCATAATATTGCATTTTTTTTACTATAATCGTAAGTCAGTTTGCAAAAAGAAGATTGTTCCAGCACTGAACTCACCTCTTTTGCTCCAGGAATCTCATAAATAGAACGTGGACTGTCGTCTGAAATATACAGGGAATAAGCAGAATCAAAAACTACAATTGAGCCATTGTCCTGTGCAAACTGAACCAGATGGATCAGCTGGTCTCTTGTTGTTGCTGAACCCGTGGGATTGTTTGGTGAACAAAAAAATATAATATCAACATGTGAAATGGTTGACAAATCTGGGAAAAATCCATTCTCAGGTACACATCTCATGTATTCAATGTTTCCATATTTCTCAATATCCTTCTGAAATAAGCTAGTTTGTCCCACAATAACACTTGAATCTACATATGCCTGTAATAACAGTAGTCCTTAAGTAGACATATTTTACATATACCTTGAAGTTTGAAGATTTAACTCCCTAATAGATGACCATAAACATAGAAATATACACGTTGCATTGACATCAACCTATCCACTGAATACAAATGCCTATTGTTGATGCTCCTACTCCAAATAAGAATCAAAACCACATACTATAATAGCATTAACCATGTACAAATTTCAAAAGTAGCCTTCTATAATTAAAAAGAGAGAAAAGCATAAATTAAGGGTGTGCAGTGTAGTCTTACAGGGTACGATGGATCTTGAACTGCCATCTTCACTTCAGATCCAAAAAGGACCCGTAGAATGTATAAGAAAGATAAGGCGTATAAAACCAGTTTATCCATACAAACCACCCCCTTCCCTCTGAACCACAAAAAGTTCCTCAACTTGTAGACTCATAGAGATTAGTCATCATCAATTTCAATATAGGAAATAGAACAAAAACAAAGTGAAAACATGAAACGAAAAACAACCTGAAGCCGAGATATATCACATTTTGCACCATCTGAGACAAATATATCAGTTTCATCAATAGCAAGGTCTTTGTAATATGTTGAGGCTATAGCAGCCCTTAGTTTCTGCAGAAAAAGTCCAACAAGTAAACGAATTATCAAAACAATACATATTACATTCAACTTCAAAGAATTCACAAATTGTTACAGAAAAAGGTGGTTAAAAAACAAAAAAAGAGAGAGAGAATGGTGTGAAATATAATTAGTTACTTTGTCCCCTTGTTCAGCTCCATAACCACTATAATTAGTTACCTTGTCCCCTTGTTCAGCTCCATAACCACTATATCCCTCAACAGTTGAGAGAGAATGTGCTCTCTGCATAAATAATATAATAAGTTCAATTTTTATACATGCAGAATAAGCAAAGATCCATGAATAATTCAAACAAATATGACCTACACTAAATTAAAAGTCTAATATTGTTAACCTTTTAGTAAAATCTCTATAAAAATACTGACAGAAACCACTGAAAAAAAAAATTGTAACCAAGAAAGTGAAGTTTTAGTTAAAACTTCAGGAGCTGTCAAGTTAATTAACAAACTGATTCTCTGGAAATAATAGACTCATCCTCATGCCATCTTGTGATAATATTCAATGATTTGCCATTTGACCTCATCTAACCTTGCATCTTGTTGTTGTATTTGTTGTTGACCTCGGACACAAGCCATATGACAGACTTTAGATATGATACAACTCCTTTTCATCTGTTTGTTGCTGTTAAACATGAACCTTAGTGAAAATACAACTTTATTTACACAATGTCATCACTCTCACCATAGCTTTGATTATTATAAAACTTCTCAGCAAGCAGAAAACTACATTCAAGAAGTACTTTGTTCGACAAATTTTGGTTAAAAGTAGATAAATATGAAAATAACAATCATATACAAAATTGATTGGCAAGTGTCTCACGAACTTAAGAAAATCATACAAAATTACAAACATAAAAGAGAATCATGAGAATTATAGTTTTTTAATGAGACTAGATTTGATGTATTTCAATTGAAGATCATTGTGCAGCAATGCATTTCATTTACAATAAACATAGTATCAGTATTTCTACATATAATAAGGTTATAAAATTCAAGTTTATGCAGACATTGGCATAACATAAAGAATATAAATAACCTATAAAAGATCACGTTTATTCCAATACAAGAGACAAGTTTTACCATAGCCATGGCAGAAGTTATAACTTCTGGAATGGGTTCTGTGGTGTCACCAATGCCAAGGCTTATGACTTGTGCATCAGGGTACTTTGAAATGTGTGCTGCTCTTCTTCTGGCGATCTAGCTTCAAGCAATTTGAGAAAAACATAAGTGTTCCAACGTAATGCAACAGAAAATAATATTCAGTCAAACAAATAAAACCTGGAAACTCGACACAATATGTTAAAAAATATGTTAGGTAGCAATTTTAAATCTCTTGCATCATAAGTCATAACAATGAAGAGAAAAAGTGAATACAAGGCTAACATTTTAAAAGTGCACAGTATATACAAGTATCTGCTCTAGGATTATAGCATAGTATGCTCAAATGCTATCGAAAAGCATGATTTGCCAGCATGCTAACATGTCCAAGCACAATTCAGAACTAGTAACTAACCAGATTTCAACTAATCATTGGGTGGCATAGTCAAGCAACAGACATGAGGTATTCACCGTTGTAACAGGCATAAATTTATTGCCATATATACTGGTACACTCCTTGGTATTAAGCCTTCAAAGAATATCCAGTTCCATATAATACAAAAATAAAATTTAGGGATCAAGCACTCTGATTACCACTTCAAAAAATGGGTGCAAGAAACACTGGATGGGCAGCGATACATTAGAAATGAGGATGTGGTGTCATAGGTGGAAAAATGGAAATAAGTTAAGCAGGGTGGCTAGGTGGATAGGAAGGTTCCTTATCCCCCAACATGATTCATCAGAGGTCATAAACCATAGATTAAACTTTTTACCATGCCAGTTTGTGAAATGAATTACAGCAGCATGACCATGATGCATGTTATCTAGGCAACTGATTTTATCACATTATTAGAATAAGGGCATTTTTAGACTTGTTGACCTCTCCTGAAGTCATCGATATTAACACAGATAAATGATGAGCAGATAGGCTGATCCAACTACGCATAATGAGATAATTAAAAACATGAAAAAATACATTTCTCTGATAAACACAAGTGCAAAGAACAGTAACAACAAGTAATGAAATAAACTGATTAGCCTGTATGCAAAGAAAAAGTTATCCACCAACAAAACCACCTGCATTAAATCAGAATCAAGCAAAACACAAAAGAACATTTTCTGCAAGTTCACCTCATCAAATATATAGTCCTTTTTGAAACAAAGCATTCCAAAACCAAGGATTTGGTTATGTTATGTAAAATACAAGAAGCAACAAATGCAGATAAAGTGACCTACCAGAACAAGTAGCTACACATATGTGGCAGAAAAGAAAGGGCATGAAATTGCACATTTAGTTCTGTGCTCATAGTGATTGGGCCTTTCATTTGTTCAATCTCTTGTTCCAAACCCAAGATCAACATGTAGCTAACAATACCGAGGACTACTTCAGATACATAAGTACCCCTTTTAACAACATTGGGATATGCTGGATATCCAAGTTATCTAAGTTCAGCTTTGTCAAACTGAAATATATAGCCTTCCATCCTGCCACGAGATTATATTTAGAAGGCCTAACATGCCCCTGACCTAGGCCAAAGTTCCGAACTTTGTTCTATGTATTTATGATCTCCCAGTTCTGAACTTGCTTGAGCTACGGAATGTTCTCCCTAAATTCTTAAAAATGGTTCCACCCATCCTACCCGAAAACGCTAAGAAACGATAATTTTATTGAAAAACTAAACTTACGAATCTGAAGAATGGAGCAGAAAATTAGCTCCTAAAACATTACAGAAGTACAGAAAAGTAAACGGGCACTTGCTGCAGCAAGAACTCTATCGATTAACTTGAAACAAAAAACAGAATAGCCGAGATACTGGCTATCAGGGCAGCAATCTTGATATGCCGAGTTAAAAATGTATGCCCGCGACGACAAACCAAAACTTATCAGCATAATACTTTGGAATGAAGGGAGTATATAGAATTACCGGTCTACTGCTCCGCAGGAGGAGCATCCACGCACCTGCAAACCCCATTTTTCCTAACCGACAGAGATACCGTAGACGACCTGCAACCAAATCATGCCCTGAGAAAAGACTGTAATCAAACTGCAAGGGATGAAAATGGAGCTCAAGCGATCCAAGAACCCGATGTTGTTGGTGGATGGGAGCCGTCCGGAGAAAGCGGAGGAGCTCGACTTGATGGCCGCGGGAATCTGCAGCGCGGACGATGCCATCGTGATGGAACCCCAAACGGGGCGAACGAGTCGGCCGCCGATGCCTCTCAAACCGTGCGTCTTATATATGGCAGGTAGAAATCACGGGGCTAGACGCATACCCGAATCCGTTTAAATTGAATAAGAATACAGATGCGGGTAGGAAAATAAAAGTTTGAATTGGATGTCTAATTAGGTCTAAAAATAGATAGGATATAATTGAAATCGATACAAAATCTACAATATGTTATGTCCAATTTATGATTTATTAATTTATTAAGCCTAAAAATCTTTTGTCCAAATTAATGGTAATTTACTCATCAAATTTTATGAACTAAATTAATTTAGACACATCCCATTTAAGGGTTTCAAGTCGTTAAGGACCAATTTAGTCCAAAATTAAATCTTATCAAGCTTAGTCTAATGGTGGCATCATAATATATCTTTAGCATCATAAATTTCTTCTACTTGAGTCTCGCATCTTATCCACTATTGTATCAGTTTTAATAATTTATCATAATATGATCTAATGAGAAGATTAATCTATTCATTTATTATTTATTTAGGGTGAACCAAATATTCAAATACTTGGGTCCATAATAATAAATCCATCAAATTCCTATCTCACGTGAGTTTTGATAAACTATGGAATGTATGAAATATAATTACATAGTTCATTTAGATTGTGAGCTTTTGATAATTATTTATCAGTAAGGAGGATTTCCTCAACTACTGAGAGATTTTCTCAACTGGCTTAGGACTTATCTGCTATCATATTGATTGTAGGAGTAACCGTGGAGTTGACGTTGAGTTTCTTTAGTAGATTTGTAACCCAATTGAGTTCAGCGACGATAGCGATGACATGGTATTCAGTTTCAGTTGTAAATCGTGTAATTATTTTTTTAAAGTGTTGCCTACGGAAGAAGTGTCGATGTAGTGGGCGTAGCGACAATAACTACAGCGGGAGCGACTGCTGTGGCGTGAGCAAAGGTTGCGATAGGAAATTCTACCAATAGTGATTCGGTGGTGGATGACAAAGTCTCAGCGGAATCAGATCTGGAGATCGGATCAACAACGATTGCAGTGAGGTGGTTTGCTGTTGCTAGCGAGGATGATGGCGAGGATGGAGCATCAGCATCGGTGACAAGTGTAGTTGTTGTCAAGGTTGTGTGAGGAGAAGAAGTACTAGTGTCGAGGCACCAACGCAAAGTGGCAGCATCGGCGTCGAGCACCTCCGCTGACAAGGTTGTGTGAAGAGAAGAGGGCTTACTCTAGGCAAGATACCATGATAAACTACGGAATATATGGGTTTAACCACTACTCAGTGCTACACAGTCACTGCATTACATGAAAGCTGTCCATCATGTAATATAGGTCCCATGCATCAAAAAGATGGGATCCCAAGATTGACAAGGAAAGGCATGCATGCAACACAGCAGTTAGTGCTCTGATCCTGAAGCTTTGGCCATCATGAAACCTTTGTCCCGTGTTCGTCAAGGGAAAGAAGAAACGAAAGAATTGTCTAGTGACACCAGCAACCATCTAATGGGCAAAACAAATAGAGTGTGCAAATCCAATCCAAGGGGAACCAAAGGACCACTCCACCATGATCTCAAACTCATATGCTTTATCACCTCAAAAAGTCTAATCTCCACATGTAACCAATTGATGGAGGGCTTGATTTTTGTTTTGTCAGAAGAGAAAAAAAATAATTGCATTACTTGAAAATCCTATTACAAACTGTGAAATTGAAAACAATTCGGGGTGCTAATTCTCATTCCATATCCAATCTAATTCAAGAAATTGGCCAAGGAGCACTTTTGTTGTCCTCTCTAAATACATGATTCCACGGAATGTTTAGGAAGATCTAAATTACATCCAATATGATTATGAAGAAACTATGGAGGATGTTCTTTCTACTCAAAATCTTGATAACTCATTCCCAATTATTCCGCATCAGTTTCAATGGTAAGTTTTGATATATATGGCTTCTCGAATAGCCAGCAACACCATTTTTAACCTTCTCATCAAAAGCCTCACTGTATACATGCCTTCCTCTTCTTCTTTGTCCCTTCACCACGCTATAAAACTTGTGCTTGATTCCTTTCTTTTTATCCAGACAGCATTTAGCAGGTCTCTCTCATGCTATATATGGTGTAAGTTTCTGCTCTCTCTTTTGGTTGGTACACCTATGATCTCATAGTTTCTTTTCCATCTCTGCAGGTGTTTTCCTTTTAGGGTTCTGCTCAAGGAAAACAAGGTCAAAATCAATCGTAAAATGTTGGTGCCCGAAGGAGGCCAAAAGGTGTTAACAGTAGCTGGTGACTCCTGCTCACCTGCACCTGCAGTTAAGACACTGGATTAGGCATTATGGTGGTGGCTGGAATGATTAAAAGTTTGCTATACTGGTTGTAGGGTTTTGGATAGCACCTACTCATGGGTAGTAGTGGTAATAGTAGGAGTAGGTTTTTACCTGTCCTAATCCTAGCAGTCATTCTTTGTTTCTTTGGTACTTGTAGATCAGCAGCAAACCATGACTGGAATCTTGAAAGCTCCAGACTGTGCTATGGAAAGAAGCCAAAAGGACTTTACTAATGGAGAGTTTGAAAGAAATATGTAATGGAGATTCAGGTTTTCTTTCTAAGGTTTTTTTTTTTTTTTTCCAAAATCCCTTTCTAAAGCTTTTTTTTCTTTTCCAAACTTCAGATTAAGGTTTAATGATGCAATGCAGATAAAAAAAATTGTTTATATCGAAATTAAAATATAATTTATCATCTATGTAAATAAACACAAATATTTCTATCGATAATTCATCATCTATATACAAAGAAATTTATTAGCTCTAATGTGTAAAGTCAATCGACAATTAGCTATACCATTTCCTTCGTGGAATACATATGATGTTTTGAATTCTATAAAACAACATAGATTTTATGTATACTTGTCAAAATTTTCGAAGTTGTAGTAGCACTTCCGTTAGGGATGTCCATCAATACTTTAGAATTAGTTTCAAAATTATATATTATTCTATCGTTTTTGGCAAATGGTAAATGATAAAAGGGAGACTTAATCCCAAGATCATACTATCAATACTTAAGATGGAGTATTGCTTCCACTGAGAATGTCCATAATATGGATAATGTCACTCTCTAAGGTACATCTGTAATTCCCTTCAAGTCAGTAAATCCTTGCATTCGAAAGTTAGATCATATTATGTAAATATTTCTATATTCTAACATCTTAAGATCATATCATAAATTCAACACTGAATCAAAGTTTTCCAATTCTACTTTCTTCCTTTCTACCTTCTATAATTACTATTATTACCACTGCATGTGCATTGTTTCTGCTCAGACTGCACTGCTATTAATCCATGAACAAGGATCCAACTTGCCCTGAAAGTGCCATTAAATAAGTTGCACTTGTTATTTAGTACTACTACTTTTAACATTGTATAATTACCTAGAGGGCATGAAGGGCATACATTTCAGACTTAGGGAGTGTGTGAGAACCGAAGAGTGTTTGCAAGCTTTGTGGTTTCCTTGTGCAGGAAAAGGAAGCATGAAACAGGACAAACGGGCTAAATCTAGCAACCTTCCATTCACTTGTCTTCTATGTTTTGGGGAGTAAAGCTATCAGCATCTTACCACAAC